GTGTGGTCACACCAACTTATGTCAAGCGAAGGCTAGACCGTCTCATTTCACAGTAGTTTCATGCAGCCTACCTGGACTGGGCAGGATGTGGGCCAGGTTGGCTACATGCTCATGTAGCAAACACATTCTCACTTCCAACTCATCACATATTGACACTTTTCCTCAAGGTTCGCTCTGYATCTTATTTTGATGCCTCAGGTTACCCCTTCAGATTCAGATTCTCTTTATTGTCATTCAAACACAACATCAGGGAAGCACTGTAGAACGAAATTACGATGCATATTAGCACACGACATAAACAACTTGATATAGTAATATAAAGTTTGAAATGCTAAATTAAACAAAGTAAAGTATGTTAGGCATTTAAAAACAAAACAGAAAAAATATTAATAATAAAAATAAAATAAAGTAGAAATAGAGCGAGGTAGAATCCAGATCAAGATCGAGGTTGAGGTGGTATAAATAGATCTATAAGGTGCATACATTTGCATTTGTGCAATAAATGACAGTATGTGTGCAAAAACAATGAACAGGTAGATGAGATACTGTTATATTGTTGGTTTTGAAGTTTTTCCAGAGTCAGGAAATGTTTGGTCAGCAGCTATGCAATGAAGAAAAATCTGAGCAGGTAGATCAGATTGTAATTCAGACTTGGCCATTATGCAGTGTTCATAAGTCTGATGGCGGTGGGGAAGAAGCTGTCWCAGAACCTGACTGTTCTGCATGACAGGCTGCGGTATCTTCTGCTGGAGGGTAGGACAGAGAACATGACGTGAATGAGATGAATGGGGTCTTTGGTGATTCTAGTTACTCTCGACAGACAGTGTTGTTTGGCCAGTTCCCCACTAGGTGTCAGCGTGACCCCACCACTCTCCCCAGTGTCTTCCCGTCAGAGGCATTGCTGCTCTCGTGCCACAGAGAGATGCAGCTGGTGATCACGCTTTCAATGGTGCCTCATAAGGTTGTGAGGATTGATGTGTTTAGGTGTGCTCTCTTGAGCCTGCGTCAGTTATTGACGCACCAGGCATTTCCGGGTTCCCTCGGTGTCCGGTTTTGATGCATCGGGAYGCAAAATTTAGGAGTCTTTGAGTTGGGGTCCGTGGTTAATATTAGGGATCAGGGTTCATGGTTAATTTTAGGTTGTGGGGCCAGGGATAGGATGTGAATATTAGGTAATTTTAGGGTTTGTGACATGACGTCACAGTGGCTTTCAAACCCCAAAACACGTTAAGACAAAAGATTAATTCACCCCAAAGATCCAGTTTCCCGGCAAAAACAGAGTAATATCATATATGCTGTTAAGTGTCAGGAGGACTGTGATCAGTTGGGGAAACAAAACAGCCACTGTTCAAAAGAATGAGCCAGCACAGACGAGCTACGTCATCGGGTCAGGACTCTGCAGTTTACTCATCTACAGGCCAGAGGTCACTCTTTCCGGGATGAAGATGTTCTCATCCTTGATAGACAGGAACATTGGTTTGAGAGGGGAGTAAAGGAAGCCATCTTTGTGAAGAAAAAACGTCCACCATTAAACAGAGGTGGAGGCCTTCRTGTCCAGTTGTCCTCCTCCTACAATGCTGTTATTGCAAGTATGACTCAGCACCCTGTGAGCAAAATGTGTGAATCAGGGCCCCAAYGATACCAACACAAAGAGGGAAAGAGAGACAAAAACAAGGGGACRTTGAACCCCACTTGCACTCACTACATTCACATAACAAAACACCAAATAACCACAGCCGAAGCATCCAATCCAATAAGTCAGGTGATGGGGCACATGACCCTCTATGAACAATAGAGCTAATCAAGCCTATTGTTAGGCGATGGCCCTCTTTTGCAWATGACTAACCTGTTTGTCCATGTGGAGGCAGTGCTTATAAGGCTGAGTTCACCTGAAACACATCAGACTGAAGAAGTCTCTCAGAGGAGAGACGAAACATTTCACTAAAGACAAACCTATCCAGGGGACCTATTTATTACTTTCTTTTTGATTTGGGACATGTAGTTGATGTGAATTTCCTACACTTTCTAAAAATGGTTAATTTTAGAGATCAGGGTTGATGGTTAGTTTTAGGTATAGGGTCAGGGACAGAATGTCTAAAGCGAATAAATGTAATTTTAAGCTTTGTGCATTTTCTACACTTTCTGAAATTATGACAACGGATTTTGCCCCATCTCGTCAATAACTGACGCTGGGGGGTACCCGACACGTCAAGACCAGACGCAGAGGGAACCTTGGAAAAGCGTCAATATGTGATGAGTTGGGAGCAGGGGTGGTTTTAGGGGTGGGGCCACAGGGGCATTAGCCCCATCTGATATCTGATTGGCCCCCTGAAGTGCCCCTGTCCTGTCACTCATCTGTCCTTTGCCCAAGAGTGGCTGCAGTTCAACTTCCAAACAGTAGTGGCACTAATGAGTCAAAAAGTAAGTAAAAAAGTATTTTAATTGACAACAATGGATGGATTTTCTCACATGCTGTGTGTTTGAGAATGTTTTATTTATTTACAGTAAACATGCATGTAAAATTGATAAGGAGTATTTACTGTTCAATCTTTTACAAGTGTCTGAACACGTGTGACTGATTAAATTTATACACCTTAAAAACTGGGGATTTATGTGCAAGCATGTTGAACAAATACTTGGCCCCTTTATGAATACTGTGGCCCCTTGATGGCTCCGTACACTGAAAAATCCTAGATTCGCCACTGGTTGGTAGTGAGAATGGGTTGAATGGTTTAGAGCAAATCAACCAGTCCAGGGGCCTCCTGTATAAAACGGTGTGTAAGCATAAAAAAGTTAGATGCGCCAGGTTCTACGCCCACGTTGTGATGTATCAAAACCAACGTTGCGTTAAAGTGTGCGTATATTTACGCACACTTTTCACCTGTCGTGAGAATGTGCGGCAGCCATGCAAAGTTTTTCAGTCAACAGTTTTAAACCACAAAGTAATG